TGTCATTTTGGTGATTTTGTAAGACGACATGCCTTTCAAACCTGCTGGCAGGTTTTGATGTTCGAAGGGGAAAATCGAAAATGGTACTCTGTAGCTCACATGGTCCACAGGTTTGACAACAAAGACTCTATGTCATTAAGTTAGCATGCTGCTCAGTGTTTTACTCTTTAAGGAAAGACAATACAAATATTTAAAAATTCACAGATACTTGTTTTAAAGGTCAGTCTCACTTTTGCTACATGATGTCGACATAATCCAAAAAAGGATTTGAGGGGAATTCACTGTCATAAAGCTTCAAGTAATCACATTCACTGCTGCACCACCAATGGAACTTTGTACACCTTGATAAAAGTTTAAAGATTTAGAGTCCGTCTTGGTTGTGACTTGCTTAACAAAAGTGATTAACTGCTATTTATAGGAATAGAGTTTCACATAAAGGAGGCTGCATGCACCTGTGCTTGGAGCAGAGCAGATCCTATTAAATGTGTCTCAATATCATTTGTGCAACTGATGGTCGGCTGTCAGATGATACTCTGGAGAAAGCAGAGCTGTTGCTGTGGTCTCCTAATTAGAAGGAACTTGAGCCATTTCAAGCCTCTAAAATGCGAGTGGGGTCTATATTAGGTGTACCATTTGTGAGGTTTGGCATAGTTGCAGGCTCCTTTGTGCTGTTCTCTTGTCACTGTCCTTATTAACATGGCTGATTATGCTGCCACTGAGGTCAACGCATTAGAGCTGGCCTTGAAGTGTGCTCAGAATGAATGCAGGCACTGCAGCACGAGTGTGTGTACGTGTGTTTTTGTTTGTAAGTGTCTGTGTTTGTGTACTTGAACAACTCTCTTTATGAGGACCAATCTGAGCTTTGCACCTGCAGAGGGAGGACATTTTGGAAAAGAGAGGATGTTTTGGCACTATTGTTGTGTGTGCGTATGGTGTGCTGTGTGCATGTGTGCGCGTTTGTCCTACTGACTGTTGAGGGAGGAAGAAAGGAAGGAAGGTAAGATCCAGTGCTGACTCAGCAAGTCAGCAAGACTGGACTTGCAAAAGGAGAGTACAGAAGCTGCGAGAGAGATGCTAATTATTCTGCAGTCCCACATGAGCAGATATGTTGGACACATATTGACCTAACACTTCCAACACACACCTTCTGTTTAGCTCATGGCTGTTGCCATGGACAGATGTCTGAGCAGATTGTTGCATATTTATTCAAAATCAGCAGTTACAGGGACAAAACAGCAATTTCACAGATCAAGGAAGGCACTATTGTTGAAACATAACGTATAATGTATACTGATACCACTGATACGCAACAGTGATGCTGTGGTCAGGGTTTACGAGTTTCTACTTGTGTTGCAGACATGGTGCTGGACCACCAGGAGGCGTCACACGAGCTGGACGACACTGTAAGAGTTCGGGTCCGCGAGGCTCTGCTGAAGAGACACCACCATCAAAACGAGAAGAAGAAGAACCTGATTCCGATGGTACGCTCCATCACAGAGGGAGCACGCAAACAGTCAGAGCCTCTTCTGACAGGTGGGTTCACACTGAATATCACACACAAGCACATGTTGCAAACTTTGTCAGCGGTTGAGTGCATCAAAGCAGTTTTCACAGGTCATATTTTAAAATAAATCAGATGACCTGACTTTAATTTTGTACTGTGGGTTTGCAGAATCTGTGTAAAACTGTTTCTATTAGTACTGGAGTCTCCCTTGTGAGCGACCTCTTTAATGTAAGATTAGATAAGAAACTAAAAGGAACAACACAAAGTAACAGACAAATATATCTCTAAACAGTGACACTGGATGCTTTCAGGGCCAAACTACTAAAATGGTTTGACCATGGGCGATCCAAATGGGAGATATCTTGGCAGCTGAGCATTAGTGCCTTCATAGATTTTTTCCCCCCCTTTGCACTTGAGAGGACAATAAATTGTAAATGTTGTGGCTCTGATTCACTCCTTATCTGTCTCTCTCGATGACACATGTGCTGGATCAGCCACATCTCCACAGCCTCCTCCACTCAGTGAACCAGCTAAGAACGGTTCCGGGCAGGACAGCACTCAGGTGGACCTCAGTAAGGTAAACAAGCAGGCTGTGGAAAGCTGCAAGAGACGCATATATGTTAATACATCTGAAAACATCAGTGTAAGATCTTAGGCTGTGGATGTCTGCTTAGTAAACAAATGCCAATAAATGCTAAATAGTCATTGTTTGTTTTTCTGTAAATATCAACATAATCAACTAGGTCACATAGTGCCCCCTAGTAAACGACAGGGAAACTGCATGTATTTAAAGTGCTTCTTGGTACTTCAGCAATCCGTCACTGCAAGACTATAAAGCAAAACCATTAAGGACATTTATAAAAGCTTTGATTTAGCTACTAGCTGTAACCAGAGGATTGTACTAAAGTGTGATATGATCAGCGCAGAAATGCTAGCTAGTTCTTTACTGCTAAACTGCACCTACAGTTGGAGAGCATTATGTACAGCTGTTAGATTGAAAGCCATTCTGGTTGTACTCTCACAATAGGGTGCAGGAATATAGATTTTTTTTTGTACTCTTGCCTGATATTAACTTCTGACTTCTCCACAGGTGGACCTTCATTTCATGAAAAAGATCCCAGAGGGTGCCGAAGCTTCCAATGTGCTGGTGGGAGAGCTGGACTTCCTGGAGAGGCCTATTGTGGCCTTTGTCCGTCTTTCCCCCGCTGTGCTTCTCACTGGACTTACTGAGGTCCCCATACCCACCAGGTAGGCAGCTTCCTGCAGATACATTAGCAATTCTTTAGTCACAAAATCTAATTATGTAAATTCAATAAACCAGGAACAATATGTACACCATAACTCATCTGCTGACATATATCAGGTTCCTCTTCATTCTTCTGGGCCCAGATGGAAAGGCTCAGCAATACCATGAAATTGGACGCTCCATGGCAACCATCATGACTGATGAGGTAAGACTCCTGTCAGTTAAAATCAAGCTTCAAAATCATTCACAGAAAAAAAAAATCTTCGCATCTGCTTTGTAAGACAGGTATTCACGTTTCCTTCCGTCCTCTGCTTCTCTCTGGACCAGATCTTCCATGATGTAGCATACAAGGCAAAGGACAGAAGTGACCTGCTAGCAGGAATAGATGAGTTCCTGGACCAGGTGACTGTTCTGCCACCAGGAGAGTGGGACCCCTCCATCCGCATCGAGCCCCCAAAGAGTGTCCCCTCTCAGGTACACGGCCACAATCACATAGAGATTTACTTCTCGGGTTAGAATTCTAGTGCCACAAATTTAGCCTTGTAATGTAGGTGCAGAGTGTAGCTATTCTCTGAATCTTGTCGGACTCTCATATGTGCAGGAGAAGAGGAAGATGCCCGGAGTCCCCAATGGTACAGCCTACCAGGTAGTGGAGGAGCTCCATGCCGAACACCATGGGCCAGAGCTGCAGAGAACTGGAAGGTGACTTACTTACATTTATCTCTGTTGCTTTAGTGATGTGTGCAATAACTCATGCTAAATATGGAAGCCAAATTCAGATGTGAAACAGCAGGATGTTACTCCCCAGGATATACAATCACAAAAAAACAGCCTGTGGAAAAACATGCAGCACCAGTTAGGTTTTTGAAACCATGTGTCGCAGCCTGGGGCTGAGTTTTGCACTTTCCACCATGTTGTCAGGTGCTGCAGCCACAAAATCTAAATTTGGATTTGTGAGGAGCTGAGGGGGGACAAGCAAGTGACACCTAAAGGAAATCACACAACAAAACATTCTTTACTTTATCCCTTGAAGAGTAACAGTGAGTTTTGAAACGTCATCGTGAAGCACATTAGAAGACGTAGCATTCACTAATAAGGCACCGGTTTTAGTAACTTACAAGTGAGCAAAACTGGAAAAAGGTGGGATTATTTTATATTGTTTTGTGCTGGTCATATCTTAAAATGTTGAAGTATAAATTAGCTGTATCCCCTGTATCCCCCTTCAAGAAATAGTTTAAATAAACATATTCACTATCTTGCCATGAGACTGCTACCCCTCATCTGTGTGCTAAGTATATGGAGGCAGCCGGCAGTTATCTTCGCTTAGCACAAAGACTGAGCCTTAAGACCAAGGATTAGCTGTTATGTAGCTTTCTGCAAAAAAGCAAATATGCAGCATCTCCCATGACACAATGCCAAATTATTCCTTCAACAGTGGAAATTATTTTCCATTCTCATCATGTATTTGCACTAACTGTAATCTGTTAACTGAAGTTGCCAATCACTTGGTTATCTAAACACCAGCTCTTTTTTGTTTGTATGCTGCGGCCAGGTTGTTTGGCGGTCTGATACTGGACATCAAGAGGAAAGCTCCATTCTATCTGGGTGACTTTAAGGACGGTCTGAGCCTCCAGTGTGTGGCCTCCTTCCTCTTCCTCTACTGTGCCTGCATGTCTCCTGTCATCACCTTTGGAGGGCTGTTGGGGGAGGCGACAGAAGGACGCATTGTAAGAGAACAAAGAGACTCACACTGACAACACAATAATGTGTTCACATACTGTGGTGTGTTTAGAATGTTAGAAATGCTATAAAGATGTTCTACTTTACTGCATACTGTACATAAAACACTCAGTGCTTTTCCACCACATGTTCCAGAGTGCCATAGAGTCCTTATTTGGTGCATCTATGACTGGCGTCGCCTACTCTCTGTTTGCTGGTCAACCTCTCACCATTCTGGGCAGCACAGGTCCTGTTCTGGTTTTTGAGAAAATCCTCTTTAAATTCTGCAAGTACGTACAATATTTTAATAAGTTTCCCAAGATTTTATCATGACCACTGTAAGATTTGTTTTGTTAATTCATTATGTACTCCCTCTTCTCGTTCTTGTCCTCCTTCTCGTTCTCCTTCTCCTTCACCTTCTTCTTTCAGGGACTACAATCTGTCCTATCTTTCTCTGCGTGCATGCATAGGCTTGTGGACGGCCCTGCTGTGCTTACTGTTGGTTGCCACAGATGCCAGTTCTCTGGTTTGCTACATCACTCGTTTCACGGAGGAGGCATTCGCTGCCCTCATCTGTCTCATCTTCATCTATGAAGCCTTGGAGAAACTGTTCCACCTGGGAGAAATCTACCCCTTCAATACACACAGTGATCTGGACAAACTCACACTGGCATAGTGAGTACAACAGTCTATTGATTACCTCTAACGTTCACCTGCATGCTCTCTTCTTCAGTTGTTTTTCTATAAGAATGTAAGCTGTCATCTATTCTCTGTGAACTTCTTGTCATTATGTGTCGTTGTCAGGCGAGACGGAACCAGTAGCAATCACTTCTCTCCATGCAGTTCCCTTTATGTCTGGCCTAATTTGACTAATAAAAGAACATTGTGCCGTCAGCCAACATACACTGATTTCCCTGCTTATGTTCATCTCTCTCTGCAGCTGTAAGTGCGCAGAGCCTGATAATCCCAGTAATAAAACCTTAGAACTGTGGAGTGAGAGGAACATCACAGCCTCTGCTGTACCCTGGGCCAACCTGACTGTCAAGGTAACCTAACTATGTAGAAGCACACACACACACACACACACACACACACACACACACACACACACACACGCGCGCTCCTAATGATGCCTGATGTTGGTGTAACTTTCATGTGATAGCACATACTGCCTTTGCTCCAGCTTGTTTACTTCTGTTAACATTCAACTAACCTTCCCTTGAGCAGCTAAGCTGTCTTCAGGACCTTTGCAAACACTGACAAGGACAGTCAATAAATTCACCTTTCACTGCTGTGTGTATAACTGAGTACACCAAAGGCATGTTGTCTTTTCCTTTTACTTTGTAGACTCTTTTTGTCTGCCACATAATTTGGATACTATGGTCCTTCAGTCTGTTTTCATATGAGTCATCAGAGGCCATTTTGGTGTTATGTAACCTGTGATTCTCTGCAGGAGTGTATCAGTCTGCAGGGCCACTTTGTTGGGACAGCATGTGGCCATCACGGCCCCTACACCCCAGATGTCCTCTTCTGGTCTACTATCTTGTTCTTCTCAACGTTCTTCATGTCTGCATTCCTCAAACAATTCAAGACTAGTCGTTATTTCCCCACTAAGGTAATCAACCAGTTTCACAGACCACTGAGTGATAGATTAACAGGAAACGCATTAGTAATCACTGACCTCTGACAGCTGTTGTCTCCTGTGTGCAGGTGCGGTCTATGATCAGTGACTTTGCCGTGTTCCTCACCATTGTCTTTATGGTTCTGCTTGACTTTGCCATTGGAGTACCCTCTCAAAAGCTGAAGGTGCCAAGTAAATTCCAGGTAAAAAGCAAGAGTACAATTTGTGGCTCTTAACGTAACACCACCCAGGGTTACTTTTGGCATTATCAGAATCACAATCACAATCAGAAATACTTTATTGATACATGAGGAGAAACTGCTTATATTAATGTTGCTCCAAAATGTTGCTCAAAATCTTAGAACAAGCACAAAAGATGTATAGATAAACATAAGTTGAAAATTATGTCCTAAAAATATAAACATAAGTAGAAAAACTAGATGCATGAAATGTAAAATGTGCATTGTTCTAAGAAAAATAATAATGCATGTATACAGTATAATAAATAGTAGTGGAGTTATATTTATGTTATTGCACAGAGAAGTAGTCATTGTAGTTATTGCACATTATTGAGAGGTAACACAAAATGTGAAGTGAGGTGAAAATTAGTGAACTGCTTTCAGGTGATACATAATGGGTCCAGAGTCAGACTAAGGACTCAAAGTGTCTGAAAGTCTGAGTGAGGAGTTATATAGTCTAATGGCCAAAGGCAGGAATGATTTCCTGTGGCGCTCTGTGGTGCATTATGGCCTCACGCTTGTGCTAATTATTCCTCCAGCCTACCAGAGATGATCGTGGTTGGTTGATCAATCCAATAGGGCGCAACCCATGGTGGACGGTCCTGGCTGCCTCTATTCCTGCTCTCCTCTGCACCATCCTCATCTTTATGGACCAGCAGATAACAGCTGTCATCATTAACCGCAAAGAGCACAAGCTGCTGGCAAGAAAAAAAAACTCCTAAAAATTTAAATCAAATTTCTTTCATAGGTCGTGAACCGCTAGCTCAATCTTCTCTCTGTTTTACAGAAAGGCTGTGGGTACCACCTGGACCTGCTGATGGTGGGTGTGATGCTGGCTGTGTGTTCCATCATGGGCTTGCCCTGGTTTGTAGCAGCCACCGTCTTGTCCATCTCTCATGTCAACAGTCTGAAGCTGGAGTCAGAGAGCTCAGCTCCAGGAGAGCAGCCTCGCTTCCTGGGCATCAGAGAGCAGAGGCTCACTGGCCTGGTCATCTTCCTGCTCATGGGCTGCTCTGTGTTCATGACTAAAGCTCTACAGGTTAGTAGGACAAGCTATGCAATGCTGCCCCCCATTGGCCGGGACATTTAATCAGAAGAATGAAAGGATAAAAAAATGACCTTTTTGAAGCAGACATTTTGACATAAATTCAAGGGAACTGTGCCATTGTTCACATTATCAGTTAAACTTGCAAATTCTGCACTATGACAAACAGTCTTGTGAAAAAGTTCTATGGTACTAATAGTGGCTCTTTAGTGAAAATGAAAGTCGATGATTTGTATTGTTTTTCTTCTAGTTCATTCCCATGCCAGTGCTGTACGGTGTTTTCCTCTACATGGGAGTCTCGTCTCTAAAAGGCATCCAGGTAACGTAAAATCTTACATGGTAAACATGATTTATAGAAAAGCCAGTGTGTACTTTTGTTTTGTTGTGTCAAAGTGATTGTATCGTGTTCTACCAAAAAAAGATACCATCAGAATAATTTCCAAGATGCTATAGTCACATCAGCATGTAAACCATCAACTCTGGCCATAATCCAGTTTATTACTTCAGCCGAGAAATTCAAGAACAAAATGTTCCAAGTTGCTCTCTTGCCCTGTCCATCCCAGTGTCTTACTGATGGTACTGTCCCTGTTATGCCTGCTCCTGATCTAATTAATCCTGTTGCATTTCATTGAGGCCTGACAGTTAATTGTCTGAACAAGCCAACTAAATTTGTCACTCATAATTACTTTCAGTCTTTTGCCATATTCACCATCTGCGTCTTGGCTCTGCTCCCGACAAATTCATTCTCTCCCAACCTTCTCTAACTTCTCTACCACCTGTGCCTATCTTTTTTTCTTTTTTTACTGCTTAGTTCTTTGACCGTCTCAAACTGTTTGGTATGCCGGCAAAGCACCAGCCGGACTTCATCTACCTGCGACACGTCCCCTTGAGGAAGGTGCACCTGTTCACTCTCACCCAGCTCACCTGTCTGGTGCTGCTCTGGGTCATCAAGACTTCACCGGCCGCTATCGTCTTCCCAATGATGGTAAGCTGACTGCCGCCAGCATCCACTCTGGCTTCGCTCATCTCTCCATGTGTTCCGTCTAAATTACAGACATGGTTAATTTCCTCCTCTGCCTGTAGGTGCTGGCTCTGGTTTTCATCCGCAAGCTGCTGGACTTTTGTTTCTCTAAACGAGAGCTGAGCTACCTGGATGATTTAATGCCCGAATGGAAGAAAAAAAATCTTGACGATGCCTCCAAAAAGATGGAAGAGGTAGTTTAAAGGAAATCTTTGAATGCAGAGTTTATCTTTGAGAATCAGCGAAGATGCACGTATTGACTTTATATGTTAATGGCATGGCTGTGTCTCGTAGGAATCACAGGTTATGCTCAGCACAAAAAAGGAAGATGCGACTACTGTTCAGATTCCTATGGAGAGCAGCAAACCTGTACATACTCCAAAAGCACATGATCCCAGGTAAGAACATACATCTACACAGACTTAAATCTATAAGACAGATATCAGCCAATTAAAGTGGTAAGATTGTCGCGTTCCCATCTATCTACGTGCATGCCTGTCTTTTTATATAGTGGTGTGTGGTGCTCTGTTTTCAAGTGTCCCCAGTGATTACTAACACACTCTCCTAAAGTCACACCCCACATCCTTTTGTACTTGCTCTCTACTCTTACCCTCCTTTCCCTCTCCCTGCTCCTCAGGTGTGATCCCTCTGATATTAATATATCTGATGAAATGTCTAAAACCACGGTGTGGAAATCCCTCAACTCCAATCAAAAGGACATTCGTCCTGTGGCTGCTAAAAAGGCAAGGCCACACCCTCCTTCTTCCTCGCCCCTGTCATCTGGAAATTTTCCTTGTACACATTGTGGTCACTCATTTCTTGCAATTGTTGCTTGAACTTGACGCCCGACTTGCGGTCTGTGCTTTTTGTAATTCTGGGTTTCTATTCTTTCACCCTGCAGGATTGAAGGGATCGCGTTCATTGATGAGTGAAGAACGTCCGCACTCCTGGAAGACTCAGCTGTATCACTGGACTGTAGTTCTGGACCACAGGACACCACGATCTGGCTGCTTCAACCATCAGCCACTTCAGTGCTTAGAGAAATATATCTCAACAATTACTACCAGCTACCCATAACACACAAAACTGTCCACATACATATAGACAAAGGCCAAGGTGCAGTACACTCTACTTCTATCTTTGTGAGGTTTGTAAATATAATCTGCATTTCAAATCTCATTTCCCTATACCAAAGCTCTGGAATTAAAACCAATGCTAATTTAATTGTGACTCTGACCCTGTGACTAGCAACTAACTCTAAGCTCACCCACCTTAACCATCACTGGCTTGAGGTTTTATTTTAACCTCACCACCAGTAGGTCGACACAATATCAGCCGCTTAAACCGTCTAAACCAGGTGAGCAGTGGCCAACCCTGTGGATATTTTACTCTCAGCTCCAAAGCCAGACAAGGGGAAAAAGGCCCATAATGAAAAGTGCTGGCAAAACCCACTGCCGTTGGCTCTCTATCTTAATGTGAAATTGAGAGACGATATTAAAGACAACACAGCATTCACCTGTGAGAATCCGATACTGTCGAACGGCTCCATTTTAATTAATTTGTGGAGAGCAATGAGACAGATTCTGCTAATGTAATTCTAGAGAGAAATCCTGGAGCTGCTCCATCGAGAGTAAATAACGAAGAAACTGAAAGGAGATGTTGACAGCTGCTGGCAGCTGCCGTCATTTCACCGAGAGACGTTTTCTGTTTCATTACTGGAAAACATACATTCACATAAAACTTATTTGTGGGTGTAACATCTCCAATAGCCTTACAAACCGGCCTGTCAGCAGCTCATGAGGCTTGTCTTTAAATAGAAAACAGTGCTATAAAAAAACTGAACCAAAACAATGAGCTCCATAAAGCTGAGGGGAACTGCATATTTGGGTGATAATTTATTGTTGGTCCTTTGGTACAGTTGACCCCCTTTTTTTTTTGAACATACAAGTAGTCATGTGATCCATTGGTAATAAGATATTGACTATAGCAGCTTCAAAGCCATTTGGTCCTCACAAAGATAGAAACACACACACACACACACACACACACATTACAACAACAACGTCTTCGCCCCTTTCACCAGAAACAACACCTAACCTTCACCCTGCCACTGTACACTAAGCTGGGCT